TTTTCAGTGTTGTACCTGCAAGGTACAGAATTTACCTTGGCTTTGTGTTCACCATAGCCTGGTGGTGTTTGGAATTAGACAAAGTGACTCAGGGGTTTAACTCTGAGTCCTCCCATTGTGTCTCTCAATATCCTCCCTTTGCTTTGGGAGCCTCATCAAAATGTCTTCCAACCAGCCCTTTCTAATCCCTGCTTTCTTTTGTGTCAGGTTTCATTTAACCTTTAAAATCATTGTAATCTGAGCTTGGTTTTCACACCCATTGCTTTACTTCCTTAATAATTGCTGTGCCTGATTTGTGACCTTTGTACAGCTACAAGAGCAATGCGTGTGTCTCTTATCTATAGCAAATAACAGGCAAGGTGCTGAACAGGAGTTCTGGAGCCAAGTGGAGATAGAGAGCTGGGGCATGGAGACTAGGACAGGCAAGCTGTAACTCTCCCCCGTGGGTCCTGACCCTCACGAGGCTTGCAAAAAAGTTTAGAGGGAGTCTTAAAAGTTTAGAAAGCAGCTGTCTTTCAACTGACTTTCTATTTAAAGGAGTAGCAAAAGGGAAAGCTCAACCAGAAAAACAGCACAGGTAAACTGTTCTGATTTTCACTGACAGCAGCTTATTTCCCCAGGCTGGGAATGTGGATACGGGCAGGAAGTCATGATGGTTGGTTCTCCCTGTCCTGCTCATGTTCCCTTGGCTATTCATAGCTGGGAGAGCTTCACCAGAGATCCCTCTGGACCTAGATAAGCCCAGAAGTGGGGCACTCGTGAAAGGAAGTTGAAGAAACTGCAATAGTACTTGAAGGCTCCTGAGGTCAAGCCTCTGTCACTAAGTATGGCTGGAAATACCTCCATGAAACAACATTCCAGTGAAAATGTTGATTTGTTGGAACAAACTGTCTCATCTAAAACACTCCTGTTCAAGGAGCTGTGGTAGACTCTGAGGTGGCCTCTCTACAGGGCACCCCCAGGCTCCTGGCCAGGCAGGTCAGTCTGTGGGGCAGCCCCAGACCACAGAACCATTCTCTGGGCCAGGCCCTGGTGAGCAGTGCTGGAACAGGCAGCCAGGTGAAGGTCTCCACGCCCACACTGAGGCAGAGACCTGGTGGCACCCAGGAAACTTCAGAGGCGAGTGTGAGCACACAGGGTAGTCACACACTCCTCTGGGTACCCCTCCTAACGCAGGCTCTGGGGCTGAAGGGCTGGGGAACTCTCAGCATGATGCTGGTTGCCTTCCCCTTCTTGTACAGGGCTTCCCTCCCATGGCAGCAGTGTGCTCGTGGACTTGTTGAATCAGACTAAAGTCCTTGTGAAATAGGGAGCTTCCCTGTGGGTGTGCACAGTTAAACCCATACCAACTACTGTACAACAGTCACATTTCTGACCCTTTCTCTTCAATTTGACAGTAGCTGCTTAGAGTCAGTAACAGAATATAATGTAGTGCTGTCCTTGCTGGATTTACAGTGTCCAGAATGGCTGAGTGCCTGCTTTCTCAGATCTCCCAAACTCAACAGATAAGATAATGAAGCTTTCAGTGGGATGTTGATTGAAGCAGAAATGAGTAAAGTAATTAACAGTGTGTCATTCAGTTTGAAAATCAATACAGGCTGTATTGAGCCAGGATAAGAGCCAGAAGAAGGGCTGCTAATACTGTAGGTCTGAAACAGCAAGATATGTAAAAAGTGCATCCACCTAACATGAATTCACCAGGGAGCATTTTAAAAAAGTCAATAGCTAGAGCATTAAGGGCAGGTTTACAGGAAACTGCAGGAGGATCATTCAGGTTGGCACCACAAAATATTGAACACTGAGACACAGTGGCAAGGAGCTGTCTTAAGTAAGTTCAGTATCCTCAGGAGTGGTCTTCAGGGCTGCCAGTCCCTTGTGAAAGGTCCAGATGTGGAAATGCCTCCTAAGCTCAAGGAAATGAAAGGAGACAAGAATCAGATATTCTTCAGAGCCATCCATTCTGGGTGCATTCAGTGTGCCAAGACAACAACCTTTTAAACTTTGAAATCTAGCAGAACTGTACTGAACAGTTCCGAGCCCCTGTGGAAATCTGAGGGGAGTGGCTTTGGCTGGACTTGCCCAGCTCTGGTGGGGATGAATCTGTTGTGTAGCTATTTGCTGTTTTCCATTTTTTTAAACTGGAGCCTGCCTACGTTCCTAAGACTTTTACAGGAGCACAATTGAAGCTGAAGAGGCTCATGCCATGGGGCTTGCTTGGCTGTCTGCAGGCTGTCACAGATGAAGGGCTGAGGGTCAGCGAGGCCATGAACCTGAGGTCTCATGGGCTCTGTGGGGCTCTTTGTGTGAGTCATGAGGATCTCACCCGAGGGGGAACCAGTCAGCTACTACACAATAATTAGCAAACTCATACCTGTGCTTACCTTTCATGTTATTTAACTTGCATTGTTCACACTTGCATGTTCATGGCTGTAGAAGTGGATGGTTAAAAGGTGGTTCAGCTGAAGACTGCTGGAGGTACTGCTCGTGCCTTGCACTTCTCAGTAGTGACAGTGTCAGTGCTTGTTGCCCTCACAGATGTGGCTGGGAGTTCTAGCTCATGATAACTCACTCTTTCATCCAAGAGGAAGGAATAGCTCTGCTATAAGGACGTTGCTTTCAGGCATCAGGAGAAAAATAATTAAACCCAAAAAATAAGAACTACTTGTTAATTGAATAACTATATAGAAATAACAACCCCTCAAGATACGTATTTGCAGAACTACAGTGCTGCATAACGTCACTCTGTGAAACACTTGGCTGCATTAGTCACTCGTGTAAAAGCCAGCAGATCATACCATATTGTATTTACATTTATTTTTCTGTCAAAAGTGTGCAGCTGAGATGACAATGAGATCTTCTGTTTGTTCACATTTGATCCTAACCAGCTGGTGGAAAATACAGTTGTGATTTTACATGGAAATTACCAGCACATTAATAGGACATCCTTGGAATGCTGTGAGCTGGGAGGCAGCAAACACTTCCACCAGTGACAGAGGTCTGAAATTATAGCTGGAGGTGATTTGCACACACTTGAGTTTTCAGTGCTTCCTTCCTTGTTGTAAAAATAGCACAATTCAACAGGTAGGGTGTTTGAGTACTACTGCCTGCTTAGGTTATTAACTGTGTGGTGAGTAATTCATAGATTCAGGGCATGATCCCGGAGGCAAATGTATAATTGCATCAAAATTGTTCACACGCTTTTCAGTGGATGCAGGATTGAGTGAGCAAAACCAAATCTCCTTCTGCATTGCCCACCCAAGCACCATAGTGGCTGAAATGCTGCACTTCAAATTGTCCTTGGTTTTCCTCCCGTGCCTTCGTTCCACATGGTGCAGCCTGTCAAACTGTCTTGGCCTGCAGCTCCAGGGGTGCCAGCTGTCAGTGTGGAGGGAGATGAAACGTGCACAAGATTTGGTGAGTGATGCTGGGTTTCATGAGCTGTGTTACCTGGCGTGCCCTGAGGCCCCACGTCCATGGCAGGGCACAGCTTGCTGCGGGGTGAGCCCACCCACTGCCCAGCAGGGCTGGGAGCATGCTGCATTGCTGCATCCTGGTAGTGCTGGGCAAGCAATCACCACAGGAACGCCACGTGAAGTAACGAGCCACATTTCCTCTGCTCTCACAGGGACAGTAGTGGGACTCTACTTGAGAGAAGGAGGAAGTTTATACTTGAAACAGTAGTTAAAGATCTGACCATGCCGGTGGGAGTGGAAGGTCCTGGTAGGCTTGTCAGGACTGCCAAAAAGGTTGTCTGGACATAGGCATTTTTACTTGTAGACACCTAAATAAATACAATAACTTCAAAACAGCTGAGCAGCCAGCAGGTTTCACTGACTACTTATTCTGACTGTTTTATTAGACCTTTGGCTTGCACACACACTATTTTTCAAATACTGGGAATAATCCTTTGATGTTTACCATTGCTAAAAAACCTCCAGGGTACCCCTGCACCACCAGTGAGAAGAGCAGCTAGAGCTGGGAGCTGCATGTTCTGCAGATCTCTTGTCTTTGCTACTTATGCCCTCTGTAAACAGCAGAGTGATGGGATGTTGTAGCAGCAGAGTGCTGCTCTGTGTGGTGTACACAGGGTAGGCAACTGCAGGAGGCATAGACCAGGAAATAAAATAGTGCCACTGTGCCTCCTTGGCACCACAAATGATGATGAACAACTGCATCGACACAGTCTTCTTGATTAAAACTAAAGCTATATTAGCCAGGGTTGAGCCTATTAAAAAAAAACAAACCAGCTTTTCTTGTGATCAGACCAGGCCTGGAAGAACCTGAAGAGTTCCTTCTCACAGTCCAGACCCTTCACAGCTGCCTTGTTGCACCCCCAGCTCCAGCACCGAGGTGTGACAGTAAAAGCAGTGCAGTGCAGTGTGCACTTTGATTCACCGATTCACAAAAATATCATCTATAAATGAGGCAATTTCATTCAGCAGAGCCATTGTGATGCAATGTTAGAAGAGGATTGAGAGCTGTTTTTATTGATCCCTTCAGACTGTGTTACTGCATACGAATTGGTGCAAAGCACGACCCAATCCCATTTATGAGTCTCCTACGTCGGTACACGTGGAATGTTGTTCTGTAGCATTATTTGTTTAATCAAGCTGATATTTCATCTGCCTCGTTGGAGTGATTATGTGATGAGGACAAACTCAGATTACTGTAAATGATCAACCTGTTCATTTCTGATCAAAGACCTAGCTGAGGGATTTAGACTTTTAAAAACCACACAAAGATTCATTCTCTTTTCTGGTCATTAGATTTTGCAGAAAGAAAAGAAAACCTCCACTTTAGGCAAGAGCATCTTTTGGCACCACAGAATTCACTTAAAAGTTTCAGCTTCCTGTCTTTGAGAAGAACTGGTGGAATTTGCTATGGAAATCACTTTACTTTCATAGGTTTTTGCATCCTCTGCTTCGTTTGCCTTTCTAAGGACTCCGTGTAGAAGAACTTGCTTCCTCCAAGCCAGACTATCATCCCAAAGCCGTCAGGAAATGGGCTTCTCTGGCTGTGCTTCAGCACGGAGAGTGAATGGAACTCTGTTCCGCCACAGGGAGACAGAGCTCAACACTTCCTCAAGCCTGGATGAAGCTGCTTTGTTCTATCTGCTGGAGGAATGGGCTCTCAGCTCCCCGGGCACACCCGTGAAGATGTTTTTGATCCCTCCGGTCGTCTGCCTCGTGGCAGGAGTCCTCATCATTCCTCCCATCTTGTTTGTGATCTGCTCTCGGTGCAGCATCCGCCAGGAGTCGAGGTACATGCTGCTGGGGAACGCTCTGCTTTCTGACCTGGCCTACCTGCTCTGCTACACCCTGTCTGCGGCGCTCAATGCCGCTCGGGTGCAGCTCCCCAAGGAGGCCTGTGTGCTCCTGCTCTTCTCGCTGGCCGCAGCCTGCTGCGGAGGGCTGTTCACAGCTGCTGCCATGGTCCTGGACACGTCCCTAGCCATCCTCTTCCCCTTGCGCTACGCTGCCGTCCTGCCTCCTTCACGGACCAGGCGAGTCATTGTGCTGCTGTGGATGTGCTCCGGGGCCTTCCCGGGGGTTTTCTTCTTGGTGCTCTGGAGCACTCGCAGCTTTCTGCCCTGTGTCCTGGAAACCTGCTCTGTTCCAGTGATACTGATGTTAACTCTGAACGGGACTGATGCTGTGAAACTCTGTTTCTGGCTTTCTACCATGGTCATCTTTCTCTGCCTGTCTCTAATGTTTTGTTGCTATGCTATTCTGTATTTTAAAACCAAACAATCGGGTATATGGGAGGGCATCTGCTCCAGAGCCAGTGTCACGTTCTTAATGCACAACACTGTGTTTTTTTCCCACTTATTCCCACTCTTGGCCCTTTTTGTAGAATCATTCTTGTGTGTTAACGTTGTCATCAGGCTGCAGACGGGAATCTGGGTCTCCCTGATAGTCTGCAATGTCCTGATGATTCTGCCTAAAGTGTTGTTCCCTCTCCTGTACGGGCTTCGATACAGAGAGATCTCGGCGTCTCTCAAATCCATGGTTAGAAAGAAGCAGCTTCGCCTGGTGTCACCTGCCCCATCCCCACCCTGAGCCAGCACAGAGCACAGCCGCAGCACAGGAGCTGTCCTTGCCTTGTTAGCATGCAGGCCTGGTGGAAACCCCTCAGCTTCTGCAGAAGAAGTGATCTGAAGAAGTGATAAACCCGAGTTACAGATGACATGGGTTGATCTCTCTGCCTCCTTGGTGCCAGAAGGGCACAGATCTTTCATCACATCACAGCTGAGAATACAGCAAATGCCACCCTGGATGAATGCACCCACCAGCTGCTCCCCTGGACGAAGTTCTGAGCTTTGTTCTGATGTGGGAAGGCAATCTCTTTTGGAGGAGTTACTGAATCTAGACCCTTTTCACCCACCTGTGGCAGATGCCATTCTGGAAAGTTGAAAATTAAAAATAGATGGTGCAAAGCGAAGGATGTAACCATGGGTCTCGACAGCACCACCTACAGCAGAGAGGATCCCTAACCCAATGTGGACAGAACAGCTCTTTCTTTCAGACAGCAGTGTGTTCTTGCGAGGTTGGTAGCCCGTGTCCTGGTCTGTCAGTCGTGCACTGAGGGGTGGCTCTGTGACCTGCTGCACGCAGTGCCAGGCTGTGCTCCCTCCTGAGCCGTGTGCTGGCGTGCTCACTGCCCTGTGGGTTCTGCCTGGCAGTCTGCAGAGCACTGGGTTCCTCTCCAGCCCCGGCCTGCTGGGAGGTCACCTCTGCTCGGCGCCCGTTGGGAGCCCCGCACACGCGCCGCCTGCGAGCAGCAGGGGTGGGTGGTGAGGGCACAGGGG